GTTTGGAGGGAGTGGTAGTTGGGCTTGGAGTGAGTGGTTGTTGGGCTTGAGGTTGGGCCTTGGAGTGGTGGTTGGGCTTGGAGTGAGTGGTGGTTGGGCTTGAGGTTGGGCCTTGGAGTTGGGTTTCAACCATTCCAGGAGGATGGACACAGAGCTGGGCTGTGTGGGGAAGGGCAGGGATAAAAAGAAAGCAGCTGGTACATCTTGGGGTGCCCGGGGCCCCAGAGAGCCTTGAGATGGCCCCATGTTGGGGCCTTGGAGGTTGTTGTGGGGCCTTGGAGTGGTAGGGCCTTGGAGTTGTTGGGCTTGATGTTGGGATCAGTTGGGTTTCAACCATTCCAGGAGGATGGACACACAGCTGGGCTGTGTGGGGAAAGGCAGGGATAAAAAGAAAGCAGCTGGTAGATCCTGGAGTGCCCAGAGCCCCAAAGAGCCTTGAGATGGCCCCACGTTGGGTTTCAATTGGGTTTAACCAATTAATTGGGTTTCAACAATTAATTGGGTTTCAAGAACCAGTTCTTGGGTTGGATGAACCTTTGGTTGGAACGTCTTGGTTGGGTGAAGCTTGAGTTGAGTTTGAGCTTGTGGTTTGGGTGCTGGGGGGGTCAGAGCCCTCCTGCAGGAGTGAGACCTGCTCAGGGTTGAAGTGGGCTTAGAAAATCACCTCAAAACCCCCAAATTGGGCCAAACTGGAGGGTGATTCTGCCCTGGCCTTGGGGAGGTGGGTCCAGGTGGGAAACGATGGGAACTCTGGGAACGTTCTGCGGAAAAAAACAGATGTTGCCTAAAAATGATGCTACAAAAAGGAGGTAAAATGAACTTTTAAGTCTCTTTTTATAATGAAACATGAGAATTTAACTCAAGAATTTGGGGTTTTGATCATTTGAGGCCTGATTTGTGGTCTAGTCAAGGACTGGGTTCCCTTAATCCTTGGAGTTCAGCTCCTGGAAGCAGGATCCGTCGGGATCTCCAGACCCAGCTCTTGTTGGGGGGGTCAAATCCAGCTGTTCCCAGTTCTCCCAAGGGTTGAATTCCCACCTGATCCAACTTTTCCTCTTTCCCAGACCATCTCAAGCCCTTCCTGGATGATTCCACCCTCCGTTTTGTGGACAAGCTCTTTGAGGCAGTGGAGGAAGGACGAAGTTCTCGCCATTCCAAATCCAACAGTGACCGGAACCGGAAACGAGAGCTAAAGGTGATTATTGATTCCTTTGGTTGCTTCATGAATTGGCTTTTTCTGTGGTTGGTGGCCCCTGGAGGCAGCTTCTGATGTTCTGCCACACTTTCCTCTTCCAGAGAGGTACATTCTGAACGTTCAAGAGAAAAGACTTTTCATAGAATCATGGAATTATGGAATGGTTTGGGTTGGAGGGACCTTCAAAATCATCCAGATCCCAACCCCCCATGGGCAGGGACACCTCCCAGCAGCCCAGGCTGCTCCAAGCCCCATCCAACCTGCCCTTCAACACCCCCAGGGATGGGGCAGCCACAGCTTCCCTGGCCAACCTGGCCCAGGCTCTCCCCACCCTCACACTCCACAATTCCCTCCTCAGCTCCAACCTCCAGCTCCCTCTCCCACTTTTCATCCCTCCCCCTCATCCCATCCCTCCCTGCCCTTGGCCCAAGTCCCTCCCCAGCTTTCCTGGAGCCCCTTCAGGCCCTGGAAGCTGCTCTAAGGTCTCCCTGGAGCCTTCTCCTCTCCAGGCTCAACACCCCAACTCTCCCAGCCTGGCTCCAGAGCTGCTCCAGCCCTCTCAGCATCTCCAGGGCTCCTCTGGCCTCTCTCCACCAGCTCCATGTCCTTCCTGTGCTGGGGGCTCCAGAACTGGTCCCAGTTCTCCAGGGGGTCTCCCCAGAGCAGAGCAGAGGGGACAATCCCCTCCCTGGCCCTGCTGCCCACGCTGCTGGTGACACAGCCCAGGCCACGGGGGGTTTCTGGGCTCCAGCCCATCTTGAGCTTCTCCTCCACCCTCCCCCCCAGATCCTTCTCCTCGGGGCTGGTTTCCATCCATCCATCCATCCATCCATCCCCGTCCTTGGGATGCCCAGATCCAGGTGCAGATCCTGTCCTTGCCCTTCTTGGACTCCATCTCCATGATCCAGTGTTGGAGACATTGTCCTGGTCTCTCACCCTGGGGATGATGCAGCTTCGTGCTCTCCTTGGGAGGTGGAATCTTGGGGCCTTTTCACTTCCTTCACCATCTCCTTGCCCATGGAATAACAGGCTCCATCTCTTGGCATTTTCACTTGGAGCCTGGGGTTGGTGATCCCAGGAATTCCCATTGCTCTTCCTTGCTGTGTCTGGCTCTTCATGCAGCTCTTCCCACCTTGGGTCGTTCATCTGCTGGGTTTCCATTTCCTTTTTCTCTCAGGAATCATCCCAGGATGGTTTCCAACAACCCCCAGCACAGCACAGAGTTCATTCCAGCAGGCACTTCACCATCCCTACATGGCTGGAGTGCTGGAAATCTGCATCCAAACCTTCTTCCTCCTCCTTTCTTCTCTTGAAGACTTCACCATCTTCTGGAGTTGTCCTTTTCCCATCCTTCCCCGTTCCCAAGGAGCTCCTCTCCATCCCACTCAGGTTCTTTTCCCTTTTCCAAGGTTTTCATGGCAAAAAGGGTTCCAGTCCCCCCTGGGAGACCTCAAATCATCCCACTCAGGGCTTGGATCTCCATGACATCCAGTTACCTCCACTCTGGTAGAAGCTTCTTCTTCATCTCCCTGGCTGAGCCTTTATCCAAGTGCCAGGAATTGTCTCCTCCAGGAGACCCATCCTCCAGGGATGTTCCCTGGGTAAGGAATGGTACCTTAAGGAGGGTTTCCAGCCCAAGGAGAAGAAATACAAAGAGTTTCTTGATTTAGAGAGGGTTAGATTTGGGTTTCCCACCCTCCTGCTTCTTCTTTCCTGCTGCAAATCTTGGAAGTGGTGGAATCTTGGAAGTATCTCCATGGCCACTCAGATATTGGAGCCATCAGAGAGCGAGGCTGGAGAAGATCCTTTCTGCTCCCCCCTCTTGCTTTTGAGAAGATGGCAGAGATTTGGGGACATTGTCAGTCCTGTTGGTTTTTGGGGTGATTCCCTCGGCCCCCCTGGCACAGGGAATGTGGTTGGATCCCTCCTTTCTTCCCAGCTTGACTTGGGATTGTTCCTGCTTCCAGCTTTCTTGTCCTCCTGGTGGCCCTGGAGGGTCAGGGATGAAGCAGCAGATGGATCTGGTGTTGGTGGAGTGCAGCAGGGATGGGGCTGGGCATGGAGAAGGGGAATCCTCTCTGGTGGAGCATCCCATGGGTGGTTGATGGTGTCCTGGGCTTCCCAGCTTTCCCAGAACCAGGTTGGGAAACAGCAGAGCAGGATCATCCTCTTCTCTTGGCTCCCGGTGTGCGGACAAACATCCTGCCTGCCAAAACAGTCCCTTCCTCTCCAGAATCACCTTTCTTGGAGGTCCTCCATGAAGATCCTCCCCTGCTGGAACATGACATGAGGTGACAAGTCCAAGCCTGACTTCTCCTATGATCCCAAGGCAGCTTTTCCACTGGAATGGATCCTTTTATTCCCAAATCTTCTACCAACCAGCGACCGATCGACTCGAAAACCCTTCGTTCCGCCCTTTCCTCTCCAGCCACCTCCTCTCTCCCTGGTTCACTCCCCTGGGGTCGTTGCTTGATTAAAGAACTTGATTTAAAAAAAAAAAAAATCACCTTTTCCACACTTTTTATACTATGGGCAAGTCCTTTCTCTTGAACTTGTAGGTTTTCCAAGAAGTACCTGAGTCTGGATGAGGAATGTCCTTGTAGTGAAGAAGGGATTGCAACAAACCCTCACCAACCGGTGTGTATATTTTCTTTTCCAATCTTCACTCACACTCACACTCACAAACACACACTCACACTCACACCCTCCTCCAGTAACACAGTTGCATGGAAAAATTCAGGTGGTTTGGGTTGTTTGGTTCTTTTTTCCCCCCCAAAAAAACCCCCAAGCAGGCACTGACTGGATCAAACTGGTGGTTGTCGCTCCACCAAAGTTCCTCAGCTTTTGGGTTGACACTTTTCCTGCCCCTTGCACTGAGAAGCTCAGGATTGGCAGGGTTGGAAGGAGCTTCTGGAGAACATCCAGTCCCTCCCATTAAAGCAGGATCTCCTGGAGCACAGGGCTTCATCCAGGTGGGTTTGGGATGTCTCCAGAGAAAGGGACACCACCCCCTGGGCAGCCTGTCCCAGGGCTCTGCCACCCTCACAGGAAAGAAGTTTCTCCTCATGTTCAGATGGATCTTCCCATGTTCCAGTTTGTGCCCATTGCCCCTCGTGCTGTCACTGGGAACTGCTGGAAGGAGCCTGATTTCCATCCTTCTGGCTCCTCCATCCCTCTGACATCCCCTGGAGACATCCATGGCCATCACTGAGCTCTCCTCTCTAGCTGAGCAGTCCCTGCTCTCCCAGCCTTTCCTCACAGGGAGATGCTCCAACCCCTCAATCATCTTTGTTCCCCTTCCCAGGACTCTCTCCACCAGTTTGGAACTGGGGAGCCCAAAACTGGTCCCAGTTGTCCAGCTGTGGCCTCACCAGGGCAGAGTAGAAGGGCAGGATGAACGTCCCTGCTGCCCACACTTTTCCTCATGCATCCCAAGATCCCATTGGCCTTCTTGGCCACCAGGGCACATTGCTGGCTCCTTGGTAACTTGATGTCCACCAGGATTCCAGGATCCTTCTCCCCACAGCTGCTCTCCAGGTCACCTCCACCTGTGCTGATCCATGGGGTGGTTCCTCCCAAGGTGCAGGACCTTCCATTTGCTCTTGTTACATCTCATGAGGTTCCTCTCTGCCCAACTCTCCATCCTGTCCAGGTCTCTGGGTGGCAGCACAGCCCCCTGGTGTGTCACCCAGGGGCTGGGTCCTCCTTTTGGGAAGCACAGGGTAGGGCAGAGCAGCTCCCTCCACCAAACCCTCTGAAACTGGTGGAAATGTTGGAAAACATTGGAAAGCATTTTAGCCCAGTCAGGTCAGTTCATGAGCAGGTTCTTTCCATCTCTCTCCCACTGAGGAAGGCCTTAAATCTCAGTGCCAAAAAAAACCAACCCCACCTTTGACCACCTAGAGGAGGATGGTGGCCTCCTTGGGATGTCTCCTGTCCTTCAAGCTCTTGCATGGATCATCATGGATGCTTCTCAGGAGGCTTCCCGCGGGATTAGCGGCAGATCCGGTGCCACCCTGGCCTCTCTGAACCACAGGGTGGTGGTTCCTCATCTTAAACCACTGGCTGGGAGGAGAAACCTTTAGTTTTAACCACCAGTTTTCTCCCTTCTTTTTGACTCCAGGATGTGTTTGGTGATGACTCTGAGGTATCCAAGGAATCTTCTGGTGTGAAGAAGCGGCGCATCCCGCGCTTTGAGGAGGTGGAGGATGAGCCAGAGGTGATTCCAGGCCCACCATCTGAGAGCCCTGGGATGCTGACCAAGCTGCAGGTGAGTCCAGCTGAGCTCCCCCAGCCCTGCCCCTCAGAAGACCTGCTCCTGCCTGAGATCTTCAATCCCAACGTGGTTTCAGAGTCAGATCCCAACCTGAGGAACCAAATCCAAGTCCCTTTGGACTGTCCCGTGTCCTGCGAGCGTTTCGTGGGTTTTGAGGCTGATGAGAACATGAGGCCTCTGAGTGGGGAAAGTTGGGATGTTCCCTTCCCATCAACTGGGATAAATGGTCTGGGCAGAGAGATCCTGTGCTGCTTGGTCCCTTCTCTGCAGCTGGGAGGTGTGGATTAGAGGAGTTGGACCCTGTCCTGTGCCCCCCCAGGGCACTGGGCCCCCATCCTGTGCCCCCCAGGGCACTGGGACCCTGTTCTGTTCTCCCTCCTGCATTTCCAGGTCTAATCAGGGCTTTGAGGAGCCTCTTTTCCCTCAGGAAGGGAAGGAGAAACTCCCCATCCCCTTTTCCTCCCCCAGATCAAGCAGATGATGGAGGCAGCCACGCGGCAGATCGAGGAGAGGAAAAAGCAGTTGAGTTTCATCAGTCCTCCAGCCCCACAGGTACTGCTGGGAGCAACTGGGAAGTCCCATCTGCCAGTGGTGACAGGGGGGGCTGGAATGGGGACATCACCCAGGATCATGGAATCCAGGTTGGAAGGGACCTCAAGGATCATCTGCTCCAACCTTTCTTGGTCTAGATTAGATGGTTCAGGTGAATCTTAAAGTGTCCAATTCTAGGGAATCCACCACATCCCTGGGGAGATGATTCCATTGCCTGATTTGGTCCCATTCTGTAAATATTCCTCTTCTGTCCCAATCAAAATCTTCTGAGGAATAACTTGCTAATTAATGTTAATAGTTAAGTATGTGCTGAAGGGTGAAACCATCCATGGGATGGACCAGGTAATAGGACTGGCACTGGGGTGAAGTGACATTCACAGCAGGTTGGGAGAGTTGGAGTGTTGAGCCTGGAGAGGAGAAGGCTCCAGGGAGACCTTAGAGCAGCTTCCAGGGCCTGAAGGGGCTCCAGGAAAGCTGGGGAGGGACTTGGGCCAAGGGCAGGGAGGGATGGGATGAGGGGGAGGGATGAAAAGTGGGAGAGGGAGCTGGAGGTTGGAGCTGAGGAGGGAATTGTGGAGTGTGAGGGTGGGGAGAGCCTGGGCCAGGTTGGCCAGGGAAGCTGTGGCTGCCCCATCCCTGGGGGTGTTGAAGGGCAGGTTGGATGGGGCTTGGAGCAGCCTGGGCTGCTGGGAGGTGTCCCTGCCCATGCAGGGGGGGGGACTGGATGAGCTTTAGATCATGGATATAATTGGGGTGGAAGGGACCTTGAAGATCAACTAGTTGAGTAGATGGTTGGATCTTGGGAATAATTTCTCCACTGAAGCGTGGTCAGACCGTGGCACAGGCTGGACTCACCATCCCTGGAGAGGTTCAAACACCATGTGGAGGTAGCAGAGTGAGGTTGGGTTGATGGTTGGACCAGATGACCCTGGAGATCTTTTCCAACCAAGGTGACTCTTGATCGTCCGCCGAACAACAAAAACACACCGATATCAACCGGGTCAGAGTTGGGGAGAGGAGAAAAAAACCCAACCCCACCCCAGATCCTCACCTTCCTCTTTTCTCCACAGCCCAAAATCTCCTCCTCATCCCAATCAGAACGTCTCCCCATTGGCAACACCATCCAGCCCTCCCAGGCTGCCACCTTCATGAACGACGCCATCGAGAAGGCGCGGAAGGCGGCGGAGCTGCAGGCCCGGATCCAGGCCCAGCTGGCCCTGAAACCAGGGCTCATTGGCAATGCCAACATGGTGGGACTGGCCAACCTGCACGCCATGGGCATCGCCCCCCCGTGAGTCTCCTGGGGACAATGGGATCCACTCTGGAGCCCCCAGCATGGGAAGGATAGGGAGAAAGTCCAGAGGAGGCCCCGGAGATGATGGGAGGGCTGGAGCAGCTCTGGAGCCAGGCTGGGAGAGTTGGGGTGTTGAGCCTGGAGAGGAGAAGGCTCCAGGGAGACCTTAGAGCAGCTTCCAGGGCCTGAAGGGGCTCCAGGAAAGCTGGGGAGGGACTTGGGACAAGGGCAGGGAGGGATGGGATGAGGGGGAGGGATGAAAAGTGGGAGAGGGAGCTGGAGGTTGGAGCTGAGGAGGGAATTCTGGAGTGTGAGGTTCTTAAGGTTCTTCCAACCCAAACTACTCCTTGATTCTATGAAATGGAGGTTGCTCCTTCCTTGAGTAGGACTCCCAGCTTCAGCACTTGAGATTTGAAGCCTTTCTGGAGAGTTTTAATGTGAGGAGGAGCTCTGGGTTTGGTGCTTTCCATGGGTTTAAGAACGTGGAGGGTCAGGCTGAACATGAGGAGAAACTTCTTTGCTGTGAGGGTGACAGAGCCCTGGGACAGGCTGCCCAGGGAGGTGGTGGAGTCTCCTTCTCTGGAGACCTCCCAGACCCTCTGAACATGTTCCTGGTGGAGTCTCCTTCTCTGGTGACATCCCAAACCCTCTGAACATGTTCCTGTGGGATCTACTGGAGATGCCCCTGCTCTGACAGGGGGTTAGACTAGAAAATCTCCAGAGGTCCCTTCCAACTTGGTTCACTTGGTGACTCTTTCCTTGGAATTCCTCACCTTCTAACACAAGGTCTCCTTGTTTGCCCCCAGGAAGGTGGAGCTGAAGGACCAGACCAAGCCCACGCCGCTGATCCTGGACGAACAAGGTCGAACTGTTGATGCAACTGGGAAGGAGATTGAGCTGACCCACAGGATGCCCACCCTGAAGGCCAACATCAGAGCTGTGAAGAGAGAGCAGTTCAAACAGCAGCTCAAAGAAAAACCCTCAGAAGATATGGAGTCCAACACTTACTTTGACCCCAGGGTCTCCATCACCCCGGCCCAGCGGCAGAAACGCACCTTCAAGTTCCATGAAAAAGGCAAATTTGAGAAGATTGCCCAGAGGTTGAGAACAAAGGTATTTCATGGGATAGGTTGGGTTGGAGGGACCTTCAGGATCATCCAGATCCAACCCCCTGCATGGGCAGGGACACCTCCCATCAGCCCAGGTTGCTCCAAACTCCACATGAGATCCTTGAACACTTCCAGGGATGGAGCAGCCACCTTGAAGGTCATTGAATGGATCATCTGGGTGATCTTTAAGGTCCCTTCCAACCCAAACCATTCCAGGATCATCCAGATCCAACCCCCTGCATGGGCAGGGACACCTCCCAGCAGCCCAGGCTGCTCCAAGCCCCATCCAACCTGCCCTTCAACACCCCCAGGGATGGGGCAGCCACAGCTTCCCTGGGCAACCTGGCCCAGGCTCTCCCCACCCTCACACTCCACAATTCCCTCCTCAGCTCCAACCTCCAGCTCCCTCTCCCACTTTTCATCCCTCCCCCTCATCCCATCCCTCCCTGCCCTTGGCCCAAGTCCCTCCCCAGCTTTCCTGGAGCCCCTTCAGGCACTGGAAGCTGCTCTAAGGTCTCCCTGGAGCCTTCTCCTCTCCAGGCTCAACACCCCAACTCTCCCAGTTCGTTGGGAATGTTATTGGGACCTGGAGATCTGGGGTCTTCCCATGTTACCTGAGAGCACAGAAATGAGGGTTTGGTTCAATCCTCCTCTCCTGGGATCTGTTCCCTGGGAATGAGCAGCTTTGCAGTAAAATCACCTGGAAGTTGATCCCCAACATCCTTGCTGGAAAAGCAGGGATCCAAAGCAGAACATGGATCTGTGTGGAAAACCAAGGTGTCTTCACTTGGGGAAGGACAAAATCTTGTTGATTTGTGACCAAAGATGAAACTTTGCTTGGTCAGATGTTCCTTCTGCTCCAGCTGGAGATTTAAAGGGATCTTGGGTAAAATGCTCCATTTCTTGGAGGAGAATGGGAGAGAAGAGCTTCCCTAGACATCAGATCCCAGGGATGTGATTCCTCTGGGATTCTTCTGTGCTCTTGGCAGGTTTATCAGCTTCCTCACAAGCCCTTTCTGTCCTGTGCTGGGTGTTTTCTTCTGCCATCTGCTCCACATTGTTGGCAAGAAGTGAAATAAAAGCAGCAGGTGGATGATGGTGCTTTTCCTGAAGGTCATGATGTTTGGGAATGACCTTTTCATGCTCCTTGTCTTCTCCTCAGGCTCAACTAGAAAAGCTGCAGGCAGAGATCTCCCAGGCTGCCAGGAAAACTGGGATCCACACCTCCACCAAACTGGCTCTGATTACCCCAAAGAAGGAGCTGAAGGAGGGAGAGATCCCAGAGATTGAGTGGTGGGATTCCTACATCATCCCCAACGGCCTGGACTTGTAAGTGCTGGATGTTCCAGGTGTTGGGTCTTGATACCCCAGGAGGAAACTTAGATGGGGACATGGTCTGCTGAGCACTTGGGTGGCCCAGGGAGGGGTTGGGGGATTGTCCTCTTTAAGGGAAGGCAGAAATTGGAAGAAAAGGGGAAATTGAGGTTGGATATTGGGATGGAATTCTTCATCATGAGGGTGGGGAGAGCCTTGGCCAGGTTGCCCAGGGAAGCTGTGGCTGCCCCATTCCTGGGGGTGTTGAAGGGCAGGTTGGATGGGGCTTGGAGCAGCCTGGGCTGCTGGGAGGTGTCCCTGCCCATGCAGGGGGGTGGGGCTGGATGATCTCTAGATCATGGAATGGTTTGGGTTGGAAGGGACCTTAAAGATCACCCAGATGATCCATTCAATGATCTTCAAGGTGGCTGCTCCATCCCTGGGGGTGCTGAAGGATCTAATGTGGGGTTTGGAGCAGCCTGGGCTGGTGGGAGGTGTCCCTGCCCATGCAGGGGTTGGGTCTAGATGCTCTTGAAGGTCCTTTCCAACTCAAACCAGTCTGGGATTCCATGAATCGAGGCCAGGAGCTTTGCAATGACTCTCAAAGTCTCTCCTTTTTAGAAAAGGTGGAACGTCCTCCAAGAAAGACGAGTACTTTGGGATCACCAACCTGGTGGAGCACCCGGCGCAGCTCAACCCACCAGGTACTGCCCAAGTTTGGGTCAACTTTGGTGTTAAATTAGGAAGAAAACACTCCTGAGGGGCTTGTTCTTGGGGAGAGAGGTGAAGCAGAGGGTGATGAGGCTGCAGCCCCATCCTCCTCCTCCCTGTGAGGAGAAGAAAGGAGGTGAAAAGCTCCAAACTCTTCCAAACCAAACGAAATCGGGAACATCTGTCCTGGTTTTTGGGAACAACAGAAAACCTTTGGCTGAAGGAGTTGCAGATGGTGGTTTCTCTTGCTGGTCCTGAGGCAGAGTTGTGGTTTTGTCTCTTCCCAGTGGACAGTGACACCCCAGTCACCTTGGGGGTTTATTTAACGAAGAAAGAGCAGAAAAAATTACGGCGACAAACTCGGAGGGAAGCCCAGAAGGAGCTGCAGGAGAAAGTCAGGCTGGGCCTGATGCCACCACCAGAGCCCAAAGGTAAAGGAGCTCTGGACTCACCCCAGCCTGGATGTGGCCTGGGGAACACAACTTCCATGGGTGGTTGGGTTGGTGGGATCCAGATGGATCTGGAGCCTGGTGTTGCTTTTCCTTGCAGTGAGGATTTCCAACCTGATGCGAGTGCTGGGGACAGAAGCTGTGCAGGACCCCACCAAGGTGGAAGCTCATGTTAGAGCACAGATGGCAAAGAGACAGAAGTAGGTGGCACGTTGTGTCCTTGGGGTTTTGGTGGTCAGGTTTGGGTGGATTTAGGGCTGGTGCTGCAGGATGAGGGGATGGAGGAAAGGAGTAGGACTGGGAGTTGCTCTTGTAGCCTGTTCTAAGTGCCTCGTGCTCTGGATGGAGTGATGATGGTATCACAGTTCATCCTGGAGAGGAGAAGGCTCCAGGGAGAGCTTAGAGCAGCTTCCAGGGCCTGAAGGGGCTCCAGGAAAGCTGGGGAGGGACTTGGGCCAAGGGCAGGGAGGGATGGGATGAGGGGGAGGGATGAAAAGTGGGAGAGGGAGCTGGAGGTTGGAGCTGAGGAGGGAATTGTGGAGTGTGAGGGTGGGGAGAGCCTGGGCCAGGTTGCCCAGGGAAGCTGTGGCTGCCCCATCCCTGGGGGTGTTGAAGGGCAGGTTGGATGGGGCTTGGAGCAGCCTGGGCTGCTGGGAGGTGTCCCTGCCCATGCAGGGGGTGGATCTGGATGATCTTGAAGGTCCCTCCAACCCAAATCATCCCATGACTTCGGAGATGAAATCAAGGAATAATTGGTGACTGGATTAAAGAAACCCCTGGGCTTTGAATCCAGGCAGAAATCTGGGCTGGTTTGGGATTTGGGAAGTTGCTGTGTGTGTTTGGGAAGAGGACAGGGTGGGTGTTGCTCACTGGTCCCTCTCCCCCTGCTCCCAGAGCTCACGAGGAGGCCAACGCGGCGCGGAAGTTGACGGCAGAGCAGAGAAAAGCCAAAAAGGTGAAAAAGCTGAAAGAAGATGTTTCCCAAGGAGTTCACATAGCAGTGTACAGGTGAGCACAGGGCTGGGAGCTCCACCTGCTACAGAGACCTGGGAATACCCTGTGGAAAAAAATATGTGGATGGGAAAGAGCAGGATTTTGCCCCAAACACCATCAACTTGGTCCCTGGTTCGTCTCCCTCCAGCCCAGCACTGAAAAACCTGCCAGGTTTGAGGTATTTCAGCTGGGTTTGGAAGTTTGGGATGAGGAAAGCAGCTCTGATAGCTGGGAATCTACCACTGATAGCCAGAAGTCAAATAACTTTTCAAAATATAAATGAAATGAGAATGGGAAGGGGCAGGGATGGCCCTTCTGAGCAGCCCTGTGACCAACAGGACTTGTTTTGAGATGAGTGAAGCTCCTGAGGAAGAAATACTTGACCCAGTGGAGCCATTTGAGGGTTGTGATGGTTGTTCTGTTTTTTTTCCATGAAGATTTGGACTGATTCCTGCCTTTTAATCCTCTCCTTAGGGTCAGAAACTTGAGCAATCCAGCCAAAAAATTCAAAATCGAGGCCAACGCTGGCCAGCTGTACCTGACAGGGGTGGTGGTTTTACACAAAGATGTCAACGTGGTGGTGGTAGAAGGAGGTGAGGACTTCTCAGGTGCCTTGAACATCCCTCAGGCAAAAAAAAAATCCCAACCCTGCAGAAATTGTTGGAAAGAAAAGGAAATTTTAAGAGGTTGTTTGAAATTCTCTTCATTACAGCTCGAATGGGGTTAGTGTTGAGTGGAACCCGGGTAGAAAAACCACAGTGGGGAGGTGAAAAGGTGTTGGGATGAATCCTGGAGGTTCTCTGAGGGGATGTTGGGAGTGAGGAGATGCTCAGCTCATGCTTTGTGATCTTCTAATTCGTTGTGATGAGACCTTGAGGAGCTTGTTTGGAAGCAGGAATTCCCAGGGTGGCTGAGAGCTGAGTGCTCTGCCACCCCAGGGGGGGAGTTTGTGGGTGTCACTTGGCTCTGGGGCTTTTTAGAACCTCCAAAAAAACCCCCAAACACTATTTTTTGGGATTTTTAAGTCTGGATTTTCTCCCCCCCCAGGCCCCAAAGCACAGAAGAAATTCAAACGTTTGATGCTTCATCGAATAAAATGGGATGAGCAAACATCAAACACAAAGGGAGAGGGTGAGTGTGGAAACCCCTGGGGGGAGGTGTTCACCACTGGTGGGGATTGTCCCTCTGCTGCTCCTGCTTTTGGGGCTAAAACAGGGTTTATTGGTTGTGTTTTAATTTTGCAGATGATGATGAGTCTGACGAGGAGGCCGTGAAGAAAACAAACAAATGCTCTCTGGTTTGGGAGGTGAGTGGTGGGTGAATCAGGGGGAAAAAAGATGTTCTGAGGCTTTGGATCTGAGTCAAAGCTGCTCCCTGGGGCTGTTGGCACCTGAAAAAATGGCAGCTTGGAGAAGAGGAGGCTCCAGGGAGACCTTAGAGCAGCTTCCAGGGCCTGAAGGGGCTCCAGGAAAGCTGGGGAGGGACTTGGGACAAGGGCAGGGAGGGATGGGATGAGGGGGAGGGATGAAAAGTGGGAGAGGGAGCTGGAGGTTGGAGCTGAGGAGGGAATTGTGGAGTGTGAGGGTGGGGAGAGCCTGGGCCAGGTTGCCCAGGGAAGCTGTGGCTGCCCCATCCCTGGGGGTGTTGAAGGGCAGGTTGGATGGGGCTTGGAGCAGCCTGGGCTGCTGGGAGGTGTCCCTGCCCATGCAGGGGGGTGGGGCTGGATGATCTCTAGATCATGGAATGGTTTGGGTTGGAAGGGACCTTATAGATCACCCAGATGATCCATTCAATGATCTTCAAGGTGGCTGCTCCATCCTTGGAAGTGTTGAAGGATCTAATGTGGGGTTTGGAGCAGCCTGGGCTGCTGGGAGGTGTCCCTGCCCATGGGGGGGGGTTGGATCTAGATGATCTTCCAGATCCCTCCAACCCATTTCACGACGATTCCAAGTCTTCTCCCAGTTTTCTCTCCTGGGCCAGCTGGGTTGGCAAATGTTCATCTCTTTCTCCCTCCCAGGGCACAGCCAAGGACCGCAGCTTCGGGGAGATGAAGTTCAAGCAGTGCCCCACGGAGAACATGGCACGGGAGCACTTTAAGAAGCACGGAGCCGAGCACTACTGGGACTTGGCCCTCAGCGAGTCGGTGCTGGAATCCACAGACTGAGGCGGGGGGCCCAGGCAGCCCCTGCCCCC